TAATATCAAAATTAACGTGAAAATTAACAAACTTCTACAAAAACAAAAAAGATAAGGTTTTAGAGTTTTTAAACTCTAAATCCACTATGATCTCTCCTCTCTTCTCATCCCCAATTTTTTTTCTCTCTTTATCCTGTTGTACTATCTAATCCTCCAAATGTCTCTCTCCTCTCTTTTTCTCTTTCCTCCCTCCTCCCTCGAATCTCTCTCATCCCGAATCTTCCTCATTTCTTTCTCTCCTCCCCTCCTCCCACTTTGTCTGTCAAATTGAATTGTATAATAACTTTTGAATCGATGGGAAATTGTTGTAGGATAGTTTTTCTTTTCTTTCTAATTATTAAAATATGAAAACAATTTTGAATCTCATAACGAACAAGTTTTTGGATCTTAAAAAAAAATTATTCTTAAAATATGTTTTTAAGAAATGTTTTAAGAAATTCTGACATTTTTTTTATACGATACCAAGTAGACCCTTAAAATGCTGCGACAGTTTCGTGATAATTGTTTATATACATAGGATGATTTTTTACATAGCGAAATTCGCATCACAAATCAAAAGCTGTAAATAAAAGTTTTTCATTTTGGTAAAATTCGATTGTTGAGCTTTCACAAGATATTTTCCATGCAGAGTAAAGTATATCTTATAACTCATTTGAATTGATCCTTCCATTTATTAAGTTGTACAGGAACCTTCTATTTGAATTGATCTTAAAACAGAAGGGGAAAAAATTAGAAATTTTAATGAAAAATTCTCGGTACTATTTATTTTAATGAAAAATCATATTTTTACATAAAAAATTAATTCTGGCATTATTTACTTTATCATTTATTTTGTCCTTATTGTTAAAATTTAAAATTTTTAAATATTTTTTTATTAATTTTTAAAAAAAAAATTATTATGGCGGTCTAGAATGTAGCTCTAGTTTCTCATCCTAACCTTTCTACTTTTCCACGCTCTCTTTACTTTTCCTCTTACACTGTAGCTAAAGGCTTGTACGATGTTGTATCATTAGGGTGGCAACTTTTCTCCATATCAATTGAGTTCTTACTTCAAGTATTTCTAAACAGATTCATACATACATACATATACATACATATATATATATATATATGTTCCGAACCTTTTCATTTGGTCATTCTCATTCAATTTTTTATTTTCTCTTTTATTTTACGATGTTGTATAATGATCAAAACTGTTTATTTTGGGTAAAAGTTGAAAAAGTAAAACAAGAAGATTTGAGAAGATTACTCGCATCCTCATGTACCTATTAACAAAATTTGCTTCATCAATAAAAACAGACTGAAAAGCCAATTTGGTATTTTATCACGAAATAAAATCATAGACACTAATATAATTTACCACAAACCAAATTTGTTGTTTTTTTTTTATTCTTAACCATCAAAACATAACCTTTCACTTCCTCTTTATTTTTTTTATTTTTTTATTTTTTTATTCACACACACGTGGACTACATTCTAGCCAATAATTTATCCCTTACATAAATGTACCAATACCCCATAGAAAACCACGTACTTAATTATCTGTTCTTTTACAAGATTGGACTGGACTAGACGTGGTGTGACTGCACGGTGTCAAATCCTACATATTTGTTCTTGAAAATAAACGTGCAAAATATGAAACCCTAACTGGACGAGTTAAAGCCATTACTCAGAGGGCCTTCTACTTTTCCAGTTGAAATGGAAGCCAAAAACCTAAAAAGACAGATAATGGGATAATTACTTTGGTTGGTTCTTCCTCCACCCCACAAGTGGACGAGGAAAAGTCAGTTCTCAGAGGGTTCTTAATTGTCTTTGCAGTTAAAAAAGATAATTAAGAACCCTATAAAATATGATCAGATGCAACTTATTGAAACATTCAGAAAATATGACATAAAATCTGACTGAAGACCCAGAAATTACACACAGCAGGAGTACCTGCTCTCTCTCTCTCTCTCTCTCTCTTAATTAACTTGTGGAGTTTATTCTTGTTACATGTAAGCAATTGTGGCCTAATGGGGAGGACATTAATTAAACACAAATTTATTCAAGGGACATTTTAAATGTGATCCCTAACTATTAATATTATTTGATTAAAACTTTGTTGGTTTTTAATTTTTGATCGAAATCCTTGAAATTAATGTGATAATGTATTTCTATGTAGGTTACTATATTTTTTTAATTAAAAATTAAAATTTATAGTTGTTTGTATTAATGAGAAATAAAAAACCCATAATTTATGGATTAAATTTATTAAAATATAAATTATACTCTCCAATATGTTGTGTGTATGTATGTATATATATATATGTATGTATGTATGCATATAAACATGGGTACATTCATGAAAATTAACAAAAAAATTATTGCACCAAAATATGGTACATTCTTCAGAATCACAAAAAAAAAAAAAAAAAGATATTAGGCTTAATAACAGTAGTAAATTTCTTTGATTAAACTTGACATGGATACATTCTCCAATCAAGAAAAAGAATGTACCCATATAAGTTTAAAAATGGATTAGAAAAAAGAATTGAATAGAGTTTATATATATATATAAATATATATATATATATATATATAAATATATATATATATATATATATATATATATAAAGGTACATTTTACATACAATGAATTGGTATATTTAAGAACTGGTACATTTTAATATTAAAAAAATTAAAAAATTACATGAATGGGTACATATAATGTCACATCCCGGCTCGGGGCGGATCACTTCCTGGGCCTGCTCCACCACCGTAGCACGATATTGTCCGCTTTGGGCCCCGACTATGCCCTCACGGTTTTGTTTTTGGGAACTCACGAGCAACTTTTCAGTGGGTCACCCATCATGGGATTGCTCTAGCCCCATTCTCACTTAACTTCGGAGTTCCTACAGAACCCGAAGCCAGTGAGCTCCCAAAAGGCATTGTGCAAGGTAGGGATTGGAATATACATTTAAGGATCACTCCCCTGGGCGATGTGGGCTGTCACAATCCACCCCCCTTAGGGGCCCGACGTCCTCATCGACACACACGCGGCCAGGGTTAGGCTCTGATACCAATTTGTCACATCCCGGACCAGGGCGGATCACTTCCCGGGCCCGCTCCACCACCGTAGCACGATATTGTCCACTTTGGGCCCCGACCACGCCCTCACGGTTTTATTTCTGGGAACTCATACGAGAACTTTCCAATGGGTCACCCATCTTGGGAGTGCTCTCACGCGCTACTCGCTTAACTTCGGAGTTCCGATGGAACTCGAAGCCAGTGAGCTCCCAAAAGGCCTCGTGCTAGGTATGGATGAGAATATACATTTAAGGATCACTCCCCTGAGCGATGTGGGATGTCACATATAAGATTAAAAAATTAGAAACCTTTTTATAAAAAATAAGGGATACAAACTTATTCTAATATTTTTTTTTTATTTTGGAAATGTCTTTAATTGAAAATTGGTTAAGAGTTCAATAAATGTGTGAGATTAAAATCCTAAATCAATTAGGGTTTTTTTTATCAACACCCCACATATTGTTGAATACACCCCACATAAATATGTATTATTAAATCACTCATGTATATTAACATGAAATGACTATTTAGCCCCAAAAAATTTAAAAGAAATTTAATACAAAAATTATTTACTAATATGAACCCTAACTCTAAATTTGTTGTCTAAACCCAAACCCTAAAATCTTAAAACCCCTAATTGACAAAAACCCCCAAACTGATAGAAACCTAAACCCCAAAAATAAAAAAAAGTTACGAATTCATAACTAGACATACTTCATTATAGATTTTGTAAGAACTACAACATTTTTTTGTTATCAAAATCTATAACTACTCCAAAAAAAAAAAAAAATTTGATTTCTCAAAAAAAAAAAAAAAAAAAAAGAATAAATCCATTATAATATAAAAAAAATTTTCTCTAAGTGATAAGCTTGGCAGTCGACACTACTTTCTTTTAAGTTTTGTACAGGAAAAAGAATTGAACCCATTATAATCTTCCCATTATGATTTTGGGAAAAAAAAATCCACACATATCCTATCATTCTTTTTTGGGTCAAAATTTTGTGAGAGTGACTTTAGAAGAGTAACAGAGAGGGATACAAATTTTGGATTTGTCCTCTACCAGTAAAATAAACCAACAATCGAATGTCATGTAGTTGACCTCATAATTAGCATTTACATGTTTAGTGAGAGTCTTGAAATTTGGAGGTGTGGTGAGAATGAACAATGAGAGAATGTTGAATGTATGTGAAAAATGTGCGGTGTATGTAGAAAGTTTGGGTGTGAGGGTAGTATAAGAAAGTATGTGGGGATGTACTAAGATAAATTTTGATTGAAAAAGTAGATGTGGGGTGTATTTACTATGAGGAGTGTATTCAACAATATGTGGGTTGTTAATAAAACAACCCATCAATTATTAATTTTTATTTTAAAAATTATGTAAATTCATTATTGTATTAATGCTAAGGAGTTTGATCAAAATCTGAAAACTAGTAAGATTTCAGTCAATGAACATTAGTAATTAGGAATTAGATACTAATTGTTCCTTTATTCAATCAACATACTTATGGATGGAGGAGTTTTGGGTGGAGGTAGATTGTCTGTCCTCCTTTTACCATGTCATTCTCATCCTCTTCTATTTGTGCGGTTACAATTAAGGCACGTCAATATTTTATATTCATACTGTTTTTTATCTTATTATCTCTATAAAAAAAATCAATATAAAATATTGACGTAACTTAACTATGATCGCATAATATAAAGGGATGGGAAGAGCATGGTAATGAAAGGATAGACAATGTGCCTCCGTTTTGAGTAGCCATTTAAGAACCCCATAAAATCTGATCAGATGCAACTTGAAACCTTCAGAAAATTCTATATAAATTCTGATTGGACAGCAAGAAAATTACTTAGTCAAACACACACAGTAGGAGTACCTTCTCTCTCTCTCTCTCTCTCTTAATTAACTTGTGAAGTTTATTCTTGTTACAGCATCATGAAAGTACGTAATAGTGGCCTAATAGGGAGAATATTAGTTAAGCACATTTATTTGATTAACATATATATGGATGTAGGAGTTTTGGGTAGCGACTGGCTAGCGTCTTCTAGCTGCACCTTCTCTCTGCGCATTGAAGTAAACGGCAGCGACAGGAAGACCCAGGTCATTTTCAGCCGCAAAGCTTCGAGTGCTGAAGCAATCCCTTGAGGAAGGTGGGTTGATTGATTGTCTTCGTTTCTGCTTGAAGAGAACAAACACAAACCTGTGGATGCCAATGTTGGGCCTTGGCATCTCGTAGCTCAGCGCCTCTCTTCCTGTTAATACAATTAATTAAAGGGTTCTTTACACATAAGACCTATGCAATTCCTGTTTCTTAAACAAAAACTCATCTAATATTATCAACATCCAAATAAAACACAAATGTAAAATATATACTACCATGTAGATAGATAGGTGACCTACTTTTTATTTTTTATTTTTTTATTTTATTTTATAGCAAACGATATTATTCATATTAAGGAGAACGAGGTGGGCTAAGCCCTCATAATAAGTTAACAATGATGTGATTCAAACTAGTCTTTGGCGAGAATCGTTAAGATCTCTCACTTACAAATGAAGATGAATGATACTAAATCATAATACTAAGTGGTAGATAAGTGACCTTTTATCACAAAAATATTTGTAATTTATGCCACAACAGTACCAATCATGTCAATCAAATAACATTCATATATTTTATAGGTAAATCATTTTGCATGTATTGTTTTATTATTATTATTATTATTATTATTATTATTTTAACCTAATTTACCTATATTTATATCCAAGAATCAATTAATATTCTTTTATTTTTTAGATAAATTATTTTGCATATATTATTACACATATACTAGACAATATTATTGTTAATATATATGCTAGATGAAGCCAAACACTGTGTATGTGTAAATATAAAATAATTAAAAAAAAAAATATATATATATATATATATATGAAAAATAGAGAGAAATTGTCTTTTCACTTTTTTTTTATTAACAAAAAGAATTTTGTTAATAAGTAGTTTAGATATGTGTGTAAATAATTTAGCTATATTTTGTACGTAGATTATTTTGGACATGTATTAGTCAATTGAAAGAAAAGGAAACACTAGTCACTTAGTACTACGGTCAAGTAGTGTTTTTTTTCACTTGTAAGTGAGATGTCTTAGGTTCAATTCTCGCCAAAGACGAATTTGAATCATATTATTACTAGCTTATTATGAAGCTAAGTCCACACCACTTACCCCTTAGTATAAATAATATTGTTTAAAAAAAAAAAACACTATGAATGCTCTTATGTAGGACTTACCAAATGCGGCATCTGTAGTGCCTGGAATGTCTGTCACAATCCTGTTTAGTTCAGATTAGAGAAATTTGTGTTAGTTTTGTACTTGACAACTTTCCCTCTTTTTATAGCTCTTTTTGTTTCATTTTCTCATATGAAAAAATAAATAAATAAACAAGGACAAAAATACGGTGCATAGGTGGTATAACAAGTACAGATCGCGCACTCTAATTTTTGTTAGTTTTGTACTTAACAATTTTTCCTTCTTTATAGCTCTTTACAGTTTGAAGTTTCGGTTGATGCTTAACAAGTACATAAGGACTCTGTAATATTGCCGACAGGTTTTTTCATCATCTTTTTGATGAAAATGCCTACATGTTTTTAGGGCTTTTGGAAATGATGGTACTTCATGAGAACACTGTAATTTTGTTTGTTTTGTACTTAACAATTTTCCCTTCTTCATAGCTCTTTACAGCATGAAGCTTTGATTGATGCTAAACAAGTACAGAAGGAGTCTCTAATATTGCCGACAGGTTTTTTCATCATCTTTTTTAAGAAAATGCCTACATGTTTCTAGGGCTTTTGGAAATGGTGGTACTTCATGAGAATCTAGGTTAACCTTCCACTTTAAAGCTAGGTTAAGTAATTTCACAGTGTGTAACCCAAAATAAATAAATAAAGAGAAAATAAATTCACAGTGCAGGTGCTCCGTTTAGATAAGGATCACTAGGTTCAGCGTATATACCAGTGCAGGTGCTCCCTTAGATAAGGGTCACTAGGGCCAGGACAATCTGGGTCCGTCATCACCTGCAAGATTAAGAAAACTTTCACAGGACTTCAAAACAATAACATCATCAAATTATATGCCATTAGGTGAGACTTAGGGTTAGGGAGTAATACAACGATGGTAAAACATAAACAAGAACTAATCAATTCATTAATAACAGAATAATATATACCAAAGTAAAGAAAGATCTCAACTCCCCTCCTTGAATCTCAACTCTAGGTTTGGCTGTGACAACAGAAGGAAAGAGCTCAAGTCCATTGCAGACTAGCTTGGTGTTGTAAGTGACAGACATGTGTGTTGTTGGAGTGAAGGAATCAAGAACATCTCCTATCACTCTCCCAACAACTAGAGGCTCCGGGACTCTTGCCATTTTAAGAGAAGAGAGTAGTACTTCTAATATTGCTTGGAAGTGGAATCCTTGTATGGTGTATTTATAGTGTTTTCATGTACACAGCGAGCTAATTACTTTAGATCTCTAGCTAATGTGTTTTGAGAGAAGAAGAGAAGAAGAATAGTGTATAGGAATATTAGAATATGGACGTCTAAAAGACATTGCTGGCAACTCTCCCCAACTCCCCACCCTTCTTTCTCTATGTCACATCAAGATTTTTTAGTGGTTTGCTTCCATTCTTATATGTTTAATGGCTGAATTAAATTGAGTGTGTAAATCCCTTTTTGAGAGGACTCACTGTTGTAAAAATTAGAGTATTTAACTCAAATGTTAAGTGGTCAACTCTACATTCTAATTATATTTTTCTCTACTTGTAAGTGAAATATCTTAAGTTAAACTCTTACATGATGAGTTCGATATCAAATTATTGCTATCCTATTGTGTGGGCTAGACAAACTTCATCACACAATATCGTTGTGTGTATAAAAATAAAAAGAAAACTCAAAATTAAGTGACATGCTTGTATGCAAGAATATATACTGCTTATACTCACAACGTAATTAAAAATTAATCAGAGAAATGTTATACACATTTTATACACATAATGTATGCAAGAATTTTTTTTGATAACATTGTGGAGCCAAAAATAATTCTAACAATCCTGAAGACGACATGTGAATTTTTTCCCGAAGAAGACAATAATGCCCTCATTAAATGGGCAGGACCTCCAAATATTGCCACGTTCAACATCCATAGAGGCTTAAGTAGCTAACTATGACATCACCAAGCCCCTTTTATCGTGGATGGAAGAAAAGTCAAAGACATTAAAATATGATTAATTTGCTAAAAAAGAGGATTAATCATCTAACCCTATCATTAATATGTTCTTGATTGAATATCAACTCAAACAAGTAAGGAATCCTCATCACAATTAATCAATGATACATACCTTGTCATCCCAAGATATTATCTGCTAATTAATATCTTTGGGATTATTCTTTCCTCGTCTACCCTACGGATGACACTACCCAGTGGGAAGCTACCACGTGTAGGGCAAAACCCTACCATTTCCGCTGCCTCCCTATAAATAGCCCATCTCCACCATTTTTTTGGTAAGCTTTTGCTACACATACAAGCCCTAAAATTCTCTCTTTTTAGAGAAATTGACTTAGGCATGAAAGATCAATTGGCCATACCCTCCTCCCTCACCTCGTGGGCACGTGTGGCTTTGGCATTGATCAAATGTGTTTTTTTTTATCTTGTAGATATAAATTCGTCCTGATTGAAGATGATAGATTTTGTTACCACAAGATCGATAGATTTTGCTATCACAACATGCATATTATACTTATGTTTTGTGTGATCCAACCCTCTATATTTGTGTGTGCCTCCCATATTAATTGGGTCCCTTGGAATTTTTTTATTTTTTTGAAATAAACGATATTATCTACACTAATGAAAGGGGGTGAGCTTAGTTTCACAATTGGTTAGTAATAATATGGTCCAAATTTGTCTTTTGCGAGAATTGAACCTAAGACTTCTCATTTACAAATGAAGATGATTAATATTACTAGACCGTAGTACTAAGTGACGGGTCCCTTGGAATTAGTTCTTGATTGGTTGTAAACCTAATTATTGAATATTTTGATAAAAAAATAAGGCGGATAGTTTTCCTTAGTTAGGCCAGAAAATCATTATATAATCCTGCATGGTGGGGGTCCTTAATTTGTCATAGCTGTCAAGTCTTACCAATATTTTATAAAAATAACATAAAGTAATTAAAAGCAACAAATTGCCTAGAATTATTCCTGAACATTCACAATCTAATCAAGGAAAATCTTATCTTTTGCAGTTAGGGTAATGAAAAATTTGAAATGGAAATATACTGTTGAATGGATGCATAATGTACACGGGTTTTATCATTTTTTCAGAGATTCTGTCTCTTAAGAGATCTCTTTTAACTTTTTAAGAGATGAGTCACAAGAGAGCATAAAGGAACTCCACCTGCTCTCTGAGTGCCTGCTGCCAAGCTGCTAGTAGTGCTGAGAGGGCATCTCAATGACTCAAAGTAGCAAAAGCAGAGAATTCAAAGAACTTCCCAGATTGGCAATGAGAGGAGGAAGCGAATTTTCCATAACTAGCCAAATTAGTACTTTGTTTTGTATTTTTTTTCTGTATATCCCACCAGTACCTCATCTGGAAATGTTTTTACTTTCCATAACTTGAAGCCAAAGTACTTTTGTTTTTCTTTCTACTGCTTGCACCAGCACAGCACCACACCATGTTTTCTTTAATCCCTTTATTTCTTTGGTGGTTTAATTAATTAATTAATTAATTTCCTCTTTTTCTCCTCAGGATCGATTCTTTGCTATATTGTTCCCTGTGTTATATAATTACTTAAGTTGGAGGAGACCTTCATATAATTTATCACTATCTATACCTTTTTGTATGAATTATATGATGAACGTGTGGAACCGCAATCTGTCTTCTCGTCACATTCTAGTCACAATAACGGGACGTAAAAGGAACAGTAAATGGCAAAATGATTCTCTTAACTTAATGTAATGAAGAATGATTTAGGATTTAAGCCCAAAAAAAAAAATAAAAATTACGGTACTCTTTAAATAAAATGGTACTATACTATTATTTTAATAAAAGTATCTCATCAAAATTTTTTTTCACCATCTCATAAGAATTGTGAGGTATAGAATAATATTGTTCACTACTTTACCAATGTTGACGGAAGTTATTATTATTGAACATTATAAAATTACGTCACCCACTATTATTCCCAAAATGACCTTTAATATATGTATACATATGAAATTATAAAATTGTCTCTTAAAAATATAAACAAATAATAAGTAAATGAAAACCACTAAGGTCTGCAAATTCAAATAGAAACAACAAAAGTATCCAAATTCAAAAGAATTCGACAACAACAAATTCAAAAATACGATGGACAAATTCAAATGACCTACACACAAATTATTCTTCTACCTTTTAAAACCCCTTTGGGCATGGTCGGGGTACCTTTTTCTCTCGTTATCAATTGAATAATGGAAACATAATCTTCTACCTCTTCCGTAGAAGCGTCATCTTCCACCTGTTCAATGAAAAAGTCATCTTCTAAGTCCATTGATATTTTTTTTTACTTTCTTTGAACGAAAGGAGATGAAAACATGAGTTATGGTTTACGGTAGACAAATCATCTCCCACGCCCTTTTTTTTTTTAAATTGAGCAAAACAAGATAATTAATGTCCTTATCAGTCTTTTTGCAAATGGACAAAATTGTAATTAAAAATTCATTAAAAGGTGGTGGGAAGATAAGATATTAGGGTGGGAATAACATCACTCTTATTATTATTATTATGTTGTTGTTATTTTTTTTGTGTTTCTTACCTTCATGTTCAATAGGATGATAACATGACGTGAATATTCAATATCTGAAGTACAAGAAAGTAATGTCATCTTCATCCAAGGGCTAGGCCACTTTCAGTCCAGATTTGTGCAAAACTCTTCTCTAGTTAAAGGCCAAAAATGTCATGCTCAAGACCTGAGGACGGTGAAAAAATTAATCCCGCACCCAGTGTGAGAGTAAAAATGAAAATTAAAAAAAAAAACAATATACGGTGTTGAAAATAAATTCCACTCTTATAAAGATAACTCTTGTAATTCTTACAAGTGTACAAAAATAATAAAATCCTATCCCGCTCTTTTATAACAATTTCAATCCATTTGTTCTTCGTTAATCTTGTACGGAGCCTGCAAGGTCTAAAATGTAAAGCATGAGTGAAATCACAACTCAGTAGGGACATAAGTCTTATCAGTGATAAATGTTAAGGCTAACCAAGTGTGAGGCAACATGCAATTCAATTGGATAATGTTAGGATAACCAAATTTCTAAACCAAATTTGCAAACCAAGTTATGTGTCATGAATAAGAGATAAGCATGTTAACCGACAGTTAATTAATAATCCAATCATCTACAACCACATCATTTAGTTTGCAAATTTGGTTTAAAAAATTTGGTTTCCCTAGTATTACCCGATTTAATTGTATCATGTTATCAAATATTAACAACATAAATTATATTTTATGAATGTAACTCAATTTCAATTAGCCAACTCGTTAATCTATATAATAAACAAGCTGAGAGCTTTTACTTGACAAATAATTGAGACACAGAAAAAAAAAAATCTATATAATAAACAAGCGGACTTACACGTCCTATACCATGCATTTATCACTATATGGATGGTTTGAGTGCTCTATCATTATACAAATTAATCCATGTAACTCAATCATCTCAGTTAGCTTTTGTTAGTCATCTTGTTCTTCTTTCGATCACCAGAGTGTCTACTACTTCATACCAAACTGAGATTTTGTTTTTGCAGGAAAATCTCTTCTATGCAGTTCCCTCTGATGCAATGGAAACCTATAGAAAATCAATCGAATCTCATTTGGTTCAGTTTGAGGTAAATGCAATGTGCATTAGTGTTATTGATTAGGTGCTTCCTGTTTCTGGTTTCTCCAAGGATTTATCGTATTTACCAGAATATGCTCTCGTGTACAAGTATCCCACAAATGAACATGGCGATCTAATCCCCCACTTGCCAAATACCGACCATCAGAACTAACTGCTAGTGCTAAAACATGTTTACTATGCTGTTTAGCTCGACCTTGTGGATCCTTGACCCCATGGGACTTTAATACTGCATCACTAGGCCATAGATACTTTTCACTTTTCCCATAATTTCAATTTTGTTGTACTTGATGGTCCCTACGAGAGTTGGACTCCACCACACAAAAGGATATTTTCATATCCCCATCCCTATCTCGAATAAACAAATCAAATCCATCTGCTCCAATATGAAGTGATACATGCATATAATCAACGCATCATGATATCCACATTATCGAATATAACAAATAATATATCGAAGTTTCAATATAAATAGGTATACCACTTACAAACATACCAAGTATAATGTATACTTAAACAAGACAAAT